GATCTCAACCCTGGAGATGGTGCGTTCTATGGGCCTAAGGTAAGCTGAGGATCCAGATTAGAGTCTTACTTATTCATTTTCTTGTTTTGTTTTATTAAATGTTTAATAGATATGAAGGAATGTGTTTAAACATGTAGAATGTAAAGAAGAGTGATATATTTCCTGCCCTCATGGAACTTGGGTCTGGTGAAGCTTCAGGGAGGTAAAGAGGGCGTTTTCAGCACCATGGGATTAGTACTGTATAGGTACTAAGGGAGCATGTTACTCTGGAGGGTCACAAAAGGTTTCCTGTAGGAATCTCTTTTTAATCTGAAAAGTAATTGTTGGCTAAGTAAAAAGAAGTCTCAGGAGAGAACGTTGTAGGCAGAGGCTGGGTCGAGGAGTGACATGGCAGTTGAAAGAGGTGAAGGATGCCAGTGAAAAAAAGGCCTGAAAAGTGCCTGCTGGATATAGTGAAAAAGCTGTTAGGTTTGTTTGTTTAGTTAATTAATTAATTTTGGCTGCACTGGGTCTTGGTTACTGCATGAGCATTTTCTCTAGTTGTGGCAATCAGAGGCTCTTCTTCATTGCAGTGTGCAGGCTTCTCACTGCAGTGGCTTCTCTTATTGCAGAGCACAAGCTCTAGGCACATGGGCTTTAGTAGTTGAGGCTTGCAGGCTCAAACTATGGTGCACAGGTTTAGTTGCTCCAAGGCATGTGGGATCTTCCAGAAGCAGGGAGTCGAACCTGTGTCCCCACCCTGGCAGGTGGACTCTCAGCCTACTAGACCACCAGGAACTCCCCAAGGCTGTTAGGTTTCAAGGGGCCATTTTCCAGTAAAATTTTCTGCTCCAGAGAAACGGAGGAGGGTTAGAATAAGTGAATAAATGAATATAACTCTTTCAAAAACATTGGCTCTAAGGAATTTCCTGATGGTCCAGTGGTTAGGACTCGGGCTTTCACTGCTGAGGGCCCAAGTTCAATCCCTGGTTGGGGAGCTAAGATCCCGCAAGCCACACATGATGTGGCCAAAGCAAATAAAGCTTAAAGAACATTGGCTTTTATAAAGGCAAGGGAGAGTAGCTGACAGATCCAAAAAGATGTTGCTTGAGGATGTTTAAATTCTGTGATGAGAGGGAGCCTGTTTGGGGTGGGAGAAGTTGTTGTAGAAGGGGTTTCAGTAGAGGGACATTTCTGGGATGTCAAAAGGGATGGGATCTAGAGCCCTCCATAGACAGGACCCCTGTGCCTTTGTTTAGGAGATAGGAAGAAAGGCTGGGCTAGGTGCAAGGAAATGTATAGGTGGTGACAGAAGTTGAGACATTTTTCCCTTCTCATGGTATCAGTTATTGGAATTCTCTACAAGGTAGGAGGCAGGAACATTTGCTGAGATGGGAGTGGGGAAGAGAGAGTTGTCATGAGGGAGCTAAAGAAGGGAATCGAGGAGAAAGCTTGAGCATCCTTGAGGAGAACAGGACACAGAGTTGGTTAAGACAGCCCGCAGATTGCTGGCAACAGCACGGCTTCTGTTGAGATTCACAGCAGCCCCTTGCATCAATCGCTGTTTTTGCATTTGTAGTGTGTGGTATGCTGGGCAGCGCAGGGCAGCTCTGTTACAGGGCCAGGCAGGTGGGCAGCGAGGATGCTGCCAACGTGGGGTTTTTTCATGTGGATGTGATAGAAGAACAGTGATAACAGGGAACCAGAAGAGTGGTTATAGCTTCATGGAGAGAGAAACGGAGGAGGGAAAAGCTGAGAGGCCTATGAGTGTGAAGAAAAGTGAGTTAAGGAGCTGAGAAGTTGAAGAGTCATTAATAGGAATAATTGTCAGAGCTGGAAGGACAGGATACAGGAATCAGAGCAGGTGTCTAATGAATTGTTTCAGAGGCGCAGCCATCCTGGGAGATGATGGGATGAAGGTCATGGCCACAGTGTGGGCTCTGGTGAAGGTCTCTGAGATGAGAAACTCATGGAATTGAGAGGCCAGGGCAAAAAAAAAAAGAAAAGAGAGAGGCCAGGGCGAGGCTGGGCCGTTCACGTGAATGTTGACATCCCCTAATGTTCCATCACTGTTAAATGGAAAGAGCCACTGCCAGAATGTCCAGTGAGTGACCTGGAGCAGGATGCCGTGAGTGATGTGTCTCTCCACACAGCCTGGGATGTGGGTAGATAGAGGGGGTGACCATATGATGGAGGGCACTGGTTCTGGTTTCTCGCATGGCCTCCCTTTTGTCTTCTCCAGATTGATGTGCACGTCCGCGATGCCCTGGGTCGACCCCATCAGTGTGGGACAATCCAGCTTGATTTCCAGCTGCCCCTGAGATTTGACCTCCAGTACAAGGGGTATGGCACCTTGTCCTCTCCCCTTTCCCCTCGGCTCATGGACTAGGTGGAGGACCACTTCCCTTTCTACCCTTAAAATTTAGCCACATCCTCCACACCCTCCCTTGCCCAGGGTTGAAGATTTCTTGGAAACTGGAAGGTAATCTTGGGTGCTCATTTTGTGATGCTTCTCCATTCCATCCACCCCCATCTCCCTCCAAGGCAGTCGGGGGCCCTAGAGCGTCCAGTCCTCATTCATCGAGCCGTGCTCGGTTCCGTGGAAAGGATGTTGGGAGTGCTGGCAGAGAGCTGTGGGGGAAAATGGTGAGACCCCGATTCCTGTCTGTTCTGGCCCTCAAACCAGGCAGTGCATGCTCCAGATCCTGGCCCCTTTCAGACTCCAGCTTCTGTTTCCTTCTAGAATCTGCTCTCTGCAGCCACACTTGTATTCCAGACCAAGATAAATAATTTGCCTTCCTCTCTCCTTTCAATCAGGCCACTGTGGCTGTCCCCGTTCCAGGTGGTGGTCATCCCTGTGGGGATAGAGCAGGAGGAATATGCCAGAGAGGTGAGGATGGGGGCTGATGCAGGCCTAATAGAGAGGCTGGGGATGAGCAGTGGGAATTGCTGCATGCTGGGAATTCCACATCTGAAAACTGAGCTAATCCCTCCTTGCCTGGAGATTTGTGAAAATTAAACAAGTCAGTAAATGTTAAATAGTCAATAGGGTGCATGGCACAAAAGGGGCCTTGGATGAATGTTGGTCTTATTTATCATTTCTAGAGAGAAGTAAGGATAATGGACAGTACTAGAGCCGAGCAGCTGGTTGGCGGTGTAGAGTGGTGTCTAGAAACAGGCAGAGTCCAGGGAGGCTTGGCTGCAGGATGAGGCAGGCAAGGAAGCTGTGGGGGCTGCAGAGGGGCCTCAGTGTAGAGAGTGAAGAGGGTTCGTCCCTGAGGCCCGGAGAGCCTGGAGGCAGAGAAAGGACCAGGTGGGAGAGCTTGAGGAAAACTGGTGTCGGGGTATTCCACCTCCTCAGCCTTCCGTTAAATCACGTTCCTATCAATGACCCTCTGCCCCAGGCACAGCAGAGCCTGAGAGCTGCAGGACTGGTTGGTGACCTGGATGCTGACTCGGGACTGACCCTCAGCCGGAGAATCCGCCGGGCTCAGCTCGCACACTACAATTTTCAGTTTGGTAAGACCCAGTCAGCATAGCCCCATGGCCCTACACTCTTCACCCGGCCTCTATGTTCTTTCCTGTCATGTCAAGCCTGGTCATCTGCACATTTGGATAATTTGTGGCTCGTGACCCGAGCTAGGCAGGAGCCAGGATTTAGCACAACTGACCCCTTTGAGCGCTAGGCTCTTTCACCTCCTGTCCTGCACCTGAGATCCTCAGAACAGTTTTCTGCTGGCCTCCACCCTAACTCTTGGTGTCTGTTTGGTTAATTAGTCAAGGGAACATCAGACAGAAAGGGATAGGAAGGGTTAATAAGATGTTAATTAGTTGGTTTTGTTTATTCTAGACCTAGATGGAGTCAGCCCTAAGGGATGAGAAAAAGGGCCGTAAGGGAAAAAGTCTAAGCCAACCTTGTGCCTTTTTTTATTTTTCTAAGATTCAGAGCTCTGTCTTGAAGACAGGAAGTAGAGATTTCTCAGTCAGATTACCTGTTTCTCTAGTTTTACACACCCATTCATCCTACTAGTCTTGGCTCAAGCTATGCCATGACCCCATGGACTTACATACATGTCTCCCAGCCTGCCACCCTCCCCTTTTCTCTAATGTACACACGCATACACAGACACTTTTCTCTCTGGATCTGCTTCTTGATCTGTTTGTCTTTCTTTGGCTGACCGTACTGCCTCTCACCCCTGGACTCCTGAGTGGAAGTGATAAGGCATGTAAGAAAACGTCTGGAATCTTTCAGGATGACCAGGGAACTGGAGAGGGAGAGATAGCTAAATATATCCTTTCCCGGAAACATGTCTGAGCTCTGCTCTTCCTAAGGATTTCTGTCTCTTACATTTCTGCACAGCAAAAGGAGGATATCCTCTCCTTTTGGATACACTTTCCCCAAGGTTCCCAAACCTCCCTCTTCCTGCAGTGGTTGGCCAGAGAGAGCAGAGTAAGAGAACAGTGAACATCCGGACTCGAGATAATCGTCGGCTTGGAGAACGGGACTTGGCCGAGGCTATACAGCGGCTGCTGGAGCTACAGGATACCAGGGTCCCAAATGCTGAGGAAATTTTCTGAGCATTTGTATATAGATGTGGCAGAGACCTGCAGGAGCCACCAGCCTGCCTTAACATGGGGGAGCCCAACCTCACTGACAGGTCAGGAGTCCCTCTGACTCCTCAGAACTCGTGTGAAGGCATGAATCTACTTTCATGAAGAGATTTGGTCTGGAAGAAGCTGTAGCTGTTTGGATGTGAGGAGAGTGAAACTAAAAATAATAAACTTGGGGACTTCTCTGGTTGTCCAGTGGTTAAGACTTTGTGCTTCCTATGCAGGGGGCTTGGGTTCAGTCCCTGGTCAGGGAGCTAAGATCTCACATGCTGTATGGTACCGCCAAAAAATTAAAAAAAACAAAAACAAAAACCAGTAAACTTGAAGCTAGTGGTGTATGTCTTCATCTCTGATTCCTAACAGGCACATAAAAGGGAATTTGACTCTGTCTCCCTCTCTTTTGTCCTAGGGGCTTGGGGAGTTTGAGAAGGGGTATTCCAGAGCTCTCACTGGTGGGGGAGCTCCAGTTTTTAGGGTGTTCCCCTCTCAACTCTTCAGTGCCCTGTTTCCACGCCTCAGTTCAGCAGGCTGTCAGATGCATTCTCCACAGAAGGCAGCAAATGGAGAAGTTGGGGCGCAGAATGAGGCCTTGGAGCTCTCTTGCTCTGGGATTCTCAAAATCAGTTTCTCTGGAGCTGGGTGCTCCTCTGTTCTCAGTCCTCTCAGGAGCCTTCAGGGTGAGTTTGAGAGGAGTGACTGCCAGAGGAGGAGCGGCTGGGCCTGAGTCATGGCAGGAAGCTGAGGAGGGCGGGAGCTGTCTCTCGTAGCCTATAAAGAGGAGAAGGAGCCGGCCCTGAAGTTCACAATAGCAGTTGCAGCAACTGGACAGGCAGGCTCCCATCTGCCCGGCCCTGCAATCAGATCCACCTGAGAGGACCTACTGGGTGGCCGCCTACCTGTACCTGCCCCAGGATGGGGACCGTGTCCGGAGCAGCCTTGGTCTTGGCCTGTATAACTGTTGCTTCTGTGGCCTCTGATGGAGGTGAGTTGGGCTTGGAGCCAGCACTTGGAAAGGGGGCCTGGGTCCAGCCATCCTGGATGGCTCGTCACCAGCAGAAAGGTACCCCGTTTGGCTGCCTGTTCTGAGCAGGCCTGTGGTGGGCCTGGGTGCTGGGGCCATTAACCAGGGACAGGGAGCAGGGGTACAGAAGGGCAGGGGTTGGTCAGGGTTGCTGCCAAGAAACACAGTTGGAGTCAAACAGACAACTGAGAGGGCAGGTAAATTCACAGAGTGAGGGACCTGCTGTGTATGTGACCTATCACCCAGAAGAGAAGATCAGGAGCACCCTGGCTGCTCAAAACCAGTGCACTGCCCCAGGTAACCTTGAATGACTCCTTACCTGATTAGGAGGGGAGGTGAGAAGGTGTTACCTGTCCACAGGGGACCAGGCACAGCCCCTCTAGCTCACACAACAGAACGTTACTGTGGGAAACTGTTGAGAGATCGTCATAGATCTAACCTATCTCTGGGAGGCTCAATCTTGTCCCTTCCAGTCCTGGCCTTTCATGACTGCAAATCAGCTACAAGTGAGTCCTTTCGCTGTGGCTGTGGGGGTGATTTGCTTCAAGAGTCCTGAACCGTCCAGTTCCCCAGGTCCTAAACAGACCTAAACTAATGAGGATCTGAGACTAGCTGCAGAGGTGGCACTTCAGCTTCTGTGTGGGCTCCTTACCAGAGGCCCAAAGATGTTTCAAGGGCCTGGAGTAGGTGGGAGGCTGGAACAGACAGGCAGGTGAGGCTCCGGCCTGTTCAACGTCTGAACTGTGGGAAGAGCCCAGAAGCTCTTGAAGGAAAGACACTGACCCGAGATTAAGGCCTCCTCCCCAGCCCTGTATGTCACAGTTCCTTTAGGCCAGGACTTGGGAGACACAAGACTCTCAGCCTGGTGGAAGTGAGGCTGTCAGATTATCACACCAAATCGGTCTTGACTAGGTGTGTTTGGGGCAGGAGCAATAGATTTCTAGTGTCTTGGTCATCTTTTCTAAGCTCCTGACCTCCAGTGTCTCCCCTTCCCATACTCAGGGCCAGGAAAGAGCCCCTTAAAACCACCTCTGCTTCACCCTTCCTCTTCCAGGTTTCAAGACTTCAGGGCAGAGAGAGCTAGGGCCAGAGCCCCTGACCCACCCCCTCCAAGAAGGTAAGCGTGTGGGGGCATGGCATGGTACTGGGGCTCCAGGAGGAAACGCAGGCTCTGACCTTCTGCCTTCTTGCCTCTAGTGGGCTATGCTGCACCCCCCTCCCCACCTCTGACCAGAGCCGTCCCCCAGGGTCACCCAGACACCGCCCAGCGTAGCCTTCACTTTGAGGGACAGAGTGAAGGTAGGTCTCAGTTGCACCTCTAGGTTTCTAGTCTGGCCTACACCCTGATCTTCAGAAGGGGAGGGGAAGAAGGGGTAGGCTACTCACACACACCCCTTTCTGCAGTGCAGCCCCCTCCCTCACAGGAGGCCATCCCCCTCCAAGAGGAGCTGCTCCCCCCCCAGCTCCCTGTGGAAAAGAAAGGTGAGTGCTTCCCCGTTCCCTTCCTCCCACCCACCACATCTTGCTGACAGCCTGACCCTTGCTTCTTGGTGTCCTCGGTGACTTTCAGGGGGTCCCCCTCTCCCTCAAGAAGCCGTCCCCCTCCAAGAGGAGCTGCCCCCTCCCCAGGTTCCTATTGAACAGAAGGAAGGTGAGTGAGTCCCCCCCTTCTGCCCCCCTGCCTCCCTTGACTGACAGCATGGGCTCTGGGGTCTCTCTTTCTACCCCAGTAGACCCACCCTTCCGATATCAAGGGGAGTTGACCTTCCAGTCTAAGCAGAGAGAGAGTGACTGACAGCTTTTATCTGTCCCTCCCCCTCTTTAGGGCTCAGACCCTGCTGGGGGTGGGGTGAGTAGCAGGGATTCTGAGCCCAGGGAAGCAACACAGTGGGCAGGCGTGATTTGGGGTTGGGAGCTATAAGGGTGACACCTTGCGTGACTCAAGTCTCTTCCTTTTAGTCAGTCAGTCTGAAGGTAAGAGCCACAAATTCATTTCTTCTCTTTTTCTTCTGTATCCTCCCAACCCTTTCTCCTCAACTGCACGTTCTCTCAGTCCTCCCAACTTAATCCAGCCTTTCACTGCCCCTCCACATGTTCCCCTTCCCACTCTGTTTTCCCCCTTCTAGAAAAGCCAGCTCCTTCGATGGACCACGGCCCCCCAGAGCCCGAGTCCTGGAATCCAGCACAGCACTGCCAACAGGGCCGACCCCGAGGTGGCTGGGGTCACCGGCTGGATGGCTTCCCCCCTGGGCGGCCTTCCCTGGACAATCTGGACCAGATCTGCCTTCCTAGTCGTCAGCATGTGGTGTACGGCCCTTGGAACCTGCCACAGACTGGCTTTTCCCACCTCAGCCGTCAGGGTGAGACCCTCAATTTGCTGGAGACAGGATATTCTCGCTGCTGCCGCTGTCACAACCCCACGAACCGCTTGGATTGTGCAGAACTCGTGGTAAGGGTTGGGCTATTGATCCTGGGGGTGTTCTTTAACCCCCGGACTGAGTGTGTGTGTTTCAAGGACTAGAGGCCTAGGCCTGGGTGTGCAGGAACGTCAGGTCCCTCTCACTGGCCGTCCCTTGGGCCGCCTCGTGTGCAGAAGCGTGAAGGACAGCCCCCACTTCTTTCTTATCTGCCTGCCCAGGGGCCTTTCCTGGAACCTGGGAGGAGGACAGGAATGTGGAGAGTGGGCTGCTGGACTGACCCACTCCTCTTACTCTAGTGGGAAGACGCAGTGACCCGGTTCTGTGAGGCCGAGTTTTCGGTCAAGACCCAACCCCACGGGTGCTGCAAAAAGCAGGGGGAGGCTCGATTATCCTGCTTCCAGGAGGAAGCTCCCCGGCCACACTACCAGCTCCGGGCCTGCCCCAGCCACCAGCCTGGTATTTCTTTGGGACCCGAGCTGCCCTTTCCCCCTGGGCTACCCACAGTGGACAATATCAAGAACATCTGCCACCTAAAACGCTTCCGCTCGGTGCCACGCAACCTCCCAGCCACGGACTCCATCCAAAGGCAGCTGCAGGCCCTGACCCGGCTGGAGGCAGAGTTCCAGCGTTGCTGCCGGCAGGGGAGCAACCACACCTGTACCTGGAAGGCCGTAAGTGGGCATCTCGGCATCCCAAGAGCCTGTCTGCCTGCCCACCCGTCTCAGACCTCTGATCCCGCCGGCCTATTCATCCACGTACCTAGCTACCCGTTGTGAGCACGTCTGCCCATCTGCCTGCTTGTGAATGTCCATCCACCCACTGTGTTCCTCGTCCAAGTCTTTTCACCGTGCGCCTCCATCCTGGCCGTGTCCACCCAGTACCCCCCATGTGCATCTGTATGCCGTCCACCCGTCTGGCCTCACCTGATCCTCTCCGTCTACTGTTCCAGCACATCTCCCATGGCCAGCTCTGAACCTCAGCTGTGCTTCTACCCCTTCCACCTTCCCATCCCCACACATCCACAGCTGCCTCTTTGCCCTCCCCTTTCAGCACCTGGGGCGGGGAGTGCCCATCTCATCATGTGTGGCAGTGAGGGAAGCAGAGGGACAGGAGGGCCAGTGTCCAGTCGTCTGACTTGCCTTTCTCTGGTCCACAGTGGGAGGATACCCTCGATGGGTACTGTGACCGGGAGCAGGCTATAAAGACCCATCACCACTCGTGTTGCCGCTACCCCCCTAGCCCCCTCCGCGATGAATGCTTCGCCCGTCGGGCTCCCTATCCCAACTATGACCGGGATATCTTGACCCTTGACCTCAGCCGAATCACCCCCAACCTCATGAATCACCTCTGTGGAAACCAAAGAGTTCTCAGCAAGCAGTGAGTCTTATTTAGTTCTTCCCCAATGCTCTTCCCTTCCCCCAAAACTCCCTTCTGGGGCACCCTCTGGGACACTATTAGGAAGAGTAAAATCATGGTCTGCAAACACCATTTTGGTGCCTGGGGTCACTCAGAGACCCTGACCCTTCCCCTTTCCACCAACATAGCAAGCAGATTCCTGGGCTGATTCAGAAAGTAACTGCCCACTGCTGTGACCTGCCGTTGTCAGAACAGGCCTGCTGTGCTGAGGAGGAGGTGAGTGTGAGGGCAGGGGTCTCCCAAGGATGCAGAGGAGGGAGAGGCCTGGCACAGCGGGCCATTGCTTCTCTGAGTACCTCAAACCAGCCCTCAGAAATGATGAGGACCAGTGGGGAGGTCTTTCTTGGTTCCAGAAGCCTTCATCTCTGACCTGACCTGCTCCCCACCTCTAAGCACCTCTGATGCTGCCTCTGGGCCTCTGACATTTCCAAATGGTCACATCTGTCTGTCACAAGGAGTCTGTCTGGCTGTGGAAGGCAGCCTTGTACTCCCTCTGGGCCCCAGGGGTGGGGGGGATCCAAGGAGAGAGTAGTAGAAGCAGAGGGAAGGGGAACTTGGACATCCAAGTAACCAGTCCTGACTTCTGACAACTCTCCTCCCCTATCACCTCTTTATTCTGTCACCAGAAATCAGCCTTTATCAATGACCTGTGTGGTTCCCGACGTAACTTCTGGCGAGACTCTGCCTTCTGCTGTAAACTGAGTCCTGGGGATGAACAGGTCAACTGCTTCAACACGAATTATCTGAGGAATGTGGCTTTAGTGACTGGGGACACTAGGGATGCCAAGGGCCCCAGGGAGCAGGGCCCAACTCAGGGAACAAACAGCAGCCCCACCTCTGAGCCCAAGGAAGAGTGAGTCACCCCAGAGCCTTGGAGGATCAGATTGGGGGAACCCCACCCCACCCCACCCTTCTGGAATACTCATTACAGTAAACACCTCTTGTATTTGGCCTCGTTGTGTCTGTTGTCTCACACAAACACACCCTTGCAAGCCTGCCCAGATTTTCCTCAGTGACTGGCCCCTGAGGCCCACTGCCCCACCCCCACAAGCTCAGCAGAAGTCTTTCCACTGGCTGTGTTGGGACAACTAAACAGCTTAACATCAGTATTTATCATCTTGAATTTATTATTTGTCTTTATTTTGGCTGTGCTGGGTCTTTGCTGTGTGAGTGTTTCTCTAGTTGTGATGCCTGGCCTTCATCGCAGTGGTTTCTTCGTTGTGGAGCGCCAGTTCTGAGGTGTGCGCCTGGACTCGGTGGTTGCAGTCCCCGAGCAGTCTAGCACAGGCTCAGTAGTTGTGGAGCAGACTTAGCCGCTCTGAGGCACATGGGATCTTCCCGGATCAGAGATCAAACCCGTGTCCCCTGCGTTGGCAGGCAGACCACCACTGAGCCACCCGGGAAACCATCTTGAATTTATTTACACATTTAAAAGGAATGTCACTTGTTAGCTGGCTATCAGGATTCAGAAGTGAAAAGGTTATGATTCATGTCTTTGGCGAGCCCCCAGAATGCCACAGCTCTGCCTGACATTTTTTAATCTTTTAATCCATGGAGTCCATGTGTTTATTCCTTCAGTATACATTTATTGAATTCTTATCGATGTATACTGTGCTAGGCTGCGGGATACCTATTTGGAAAACACACAGTTCCTTCCTTCAGGATGCTCACATTCCAGGAAGGGACCTAGCAGGTGTGATTGGTGGTGCGGTGCAGGACTGCTGAGTCCAGTGTGCTCGGAGCACGTGATAACCGGGCCCAAGCTGGGGGTAGGGCTGGGGGCGGTAGGAGTGCACCTGGGAAGGCCTCTACACGGGTGAGGGCAGAGCTTCTCCAGGAGGGCGGAAGGTGCCTGGGGCAGGTACAGCCCAGGAGAAGAGGTAGCTTATACAGAAGGCTGAAACGACCGGACACCGGTGGTGGTTCCTCCCACATGTGACTGGAAAGATCAGCAGGAGCTCATCACAAATTAAGGTAGGAGATAGATGCCCATCACAATCGGAGTTCATTCCCGGTGGACAGAAATTCCAAAATATCAATAGCACGACAATCGAGAGAGGAAGCTGGGCCCTGCCCAGATAAGAGATTAGAGACCACGTATTTCTCATTCTCCAAGTCAAGGAGACCATCCCAACTAGAAAACTCTTTGGAGGTTAAAAGGGAAGTGATGCTAAGCTACCCATAGACCTCTTTGCTGAAATCCATCTTGGTTGAGAGATACCTGCACACACAGGAGGATCCTGAGATATACCAAAAATGGACTCAGAACCAGGCAAATTAAAATTACTGGCCAAAGGAAAACCCAGAAGAAATGTCTCATATAAGTGATTCAAATTACCAAGACAGTGCGACTTCCTGAGTCCACCCATATGACTACTGCATTTACTGTACTCTTTTTCCTCCTAATAAACTGTTTCACTATTTTCCGTCTCCATGAGAACTCTCTTCTACAAAGCTGAAGGGCCAGAGCCTTGTCACTGACCACTCATCTAAAGCTAGGATTCCGCGCTCTCAGCCAAGACCCAACCTCAATCTCTAAGCCGGAACCGAAACCCTGTTTCAAGCTGCTGCAGGCCGAGGCCATCCGAGCTCAGATGACTCATCCACAAGCCTTAAAGTGGATCTTGGACCTTTTGCCCACAAGGATACCGGCGGCTTCAAGCAGAGTACGCGTTCAGATTTGCCTCTTACAGACAGGCAGGCAGGAACCTGGGCAGCCAGTTCAGACAGTGTCGCGCCAGTGCCTGAAGGGAGGTTGCCGTAGCCCCTAGACCGAAGCTGAAAGAACTACAATGAAGGCTCGGTCCCATGCGGACGAGTCAACTTGATTCTGTTGCCTGGACAACTTTCCAGAAAGCAGGACCTCCTCTGCCCAGGCTACGGAGAAAGAGGGGCGGAACAAAGACCGCTGCCTTTCCCCAGCTGGGGACTAGCTGAGCCCCAGCCACTCTAAGACTGACACTAGCCGTTCCCTCCTCCGCTCTTCCACAGCCTTTTATTTATTGTTTACAATTTGCGCGCATTGTTGTTTCTAACTCATCAGCGTCTTAGCGGCTCCTTGGCCTGTCCGTCACCACGGAGACCAATGAGCGAACGAGAAATGCCCTGTCACCCGCCCATGCGCTGGCAACCCCGCCCGCCCGAGCCCGCACAACCCTGGCAGGGCGCTAGTGTGGCGATCTAAGAGGGCGTGATCCCTGCGTGGAATTCGGGCACCTTTCCGATCGCCTCGGGGGGCAAGGGACAGGCAGGGGTTCTTTCCCATACATCGTCCGCTTGTTCCGCCCTCGAAGTGCCGGTCCAGACCAGCTCACGGCCCGACCGGTGGAGGGACGGGCGGGCAACTGCGCCGGCAGAGGCACCTCTATCGGGCTCTGTCGCTTCGGGAGCTTCCCGGAGATGCTTTAGAACTGCATTTGCAAAGGGCAGCGCCAAATCTGGAGAGGGAGTCAGAGAAGAGTAGGACCGCAGTCCCAGCCCCCAGGAATTTACAGTCTATGGGGAGGAGAGGAAGAAAACCAGGGCTGTCCTACAGCAGTAGTAAGCAGGTATGAAGAAAGTGTCAAGTGCTAAATAAATATAAGCATCATGAGCTGAGAGTTAAAAGAAGTAATTTTTTCAAGCAATAAGGTACTATCAAATGGAGGAGATGGCTTTCGATAGAGCCCCGCCAAGCGTGGATAGGATTACTGTTAGTTACCAAAAGGTGAAAGTGTTAACATTTATGGCCACTCGTTGTATGGATAAACTTAAAATATATTAAATTCAATACTGTGCTGTGTGTCAATTATATCTCAATAAAACTGGAAGAAAAGAATAAGTAAAACTAAATGTGCTAACTTCAGATAAAGGAGTCAGAGACCTTAACTACTTGAAGGGACTGGGGAAAGTTTCCTGGAAGAATGCAAGCTTGAGGAGGATTTTGCTGGAAGGGAAAGGGAGGATAAACAAACCACTGGGTGTATGCAGAGTTCAGTAAAGTAAACAGTATTTTGTGTCAAACAGAGTGCTAAATCTTCAGGCTGTAAAGAATATTTTTAAATATTCTTTAAAAAAGAATATTTTTAAAAACCCTTGAGGATTTTTAGCTCTGGAAACTTGAATGTCTATGATAGATATTCTCAGGACGTAGGTCTTCTGCAGGAGGCAATAAAGCAGGAAGTTTGGTTGATGTACTTGAAGAGCCATTAGGTAGTGAAAAATAGTGTGGGGGAGTAGCTAGCCATGAGGTTGGAAATTTAGGCTTAGTCACACTTTCTGGAAGATCCTGAAGCACTATAGAAGTCACACCAGGGACTTTCCAGTGGTCCAGTGGCTAAAACTCCACATTCCCAATGGAGGGGACCCGAGTTCCACCCCTGGTCAGAGAGCTAGATCCTGCATGCCACAACTAAATATGCCAAGCGCTGCGACTAAGGCCTGGTGCAGTCAACTAAGTAAATAAATAAAGCATTCTTAAGAAAAGAAGTTATTAAAAAAAAAAAGAAGAAGAAGAATTTATGCAGCCAAATAAATAAATAAAACATTTTTAAAAAATTTTTTTAAAGTTATGCCAACCTGGGGATAAGCACTTGTAAAGGACTGTAAAAGAAAACTGATGGGAATGAATTTATTTTCAATAAAGATAAATTAGATGGACAGACAGGTAGTTAGGAATAGATGAGCTGGAGAGAGAGTAAAGACTGGAACCATCTTCAGTATCAATAAAACTGAGAAATTCTGAGATCCAGAATTTTGTCAATTTTGGTTTAGAGGATGAAAAGGGAGGGGACATCTTTTAAAGGCATTCATGAGATAGGATGGACAGAAACTGCTGCAGGAGTTGTCTAGGATGACTTCCAAGTTCAAGGTTTGGGTAACCGTAAGGTAGTTTCTGCAGGAGGAGGAGGAGCAGGTTTTACCGGAGGATGATAGTGAGTTCAGTTTTGAAGTCCTCAGTAGTCAATGCCTCTAGTGAAAAGCACCTTCAGGAAGAGGATATCCAAAGCCAAATTCTAAGGAATTTGAGTATGAATGGAGGTGGAAAAGAGGAGGCAATATGTGCAACTTGCTCTTTCACTGTCTTTCTAGCTACTTGCAAGTCTCTTAGCACAAATTCAGCTTGTTCATCAGTGAACTCCTCTGGGTGTATGGGAGATGTGAAAAAGAAAATGTAGCAATAATCTGAGTGGTGGGCAGTTGGGGGTTCACCCTTGTGACTCACCTGGTAAAGAAACCACCTGCGATGCAGGAGACCTGGGTTGGACCCCTGGGTTGGGAAGATCCCCTGGAGAAGGAGAAGGCTACCCACTCCAGTATCTGGCCTAGAGAATTCCATGGACCGTGTAGTCCTTGGTGTCACAAAGAGTCGGACATGACTGAACAACTTTCACTTTCTTTCTTGTGCAATCTGTCCACCTTTTTCTGCATTTTCCACCTGAGGTCATCATCTCTACCCTCCAACTAGCTACTTCTGTGGGCCCCAGTTCAGGAAACAGAACCACCATCTACTCAGTTGTTTAGGCTAGAGACCTGGGACTGTCATTCTTTAATTAGTTCCTCTCCTTCTCCCTTCTATTCCAGCCAGTCACCAATCTCCTAAATATCTCTTAAATCCATCAACAGTGGAGTTGTACTGTTAGGGGAAGAACACTGATTGAAACTGCCCAACCTGGCCAGGCACCATAGTAACTATTTGCATGAGTTGTTTTATGACAGGAGATCCTGATAAGGAATACGGAACTAATAAGCCACCACCAGCCAGAAGAGTTCGGGAAAGGTGGAGAAGAGACACTGCCTGTCCGTCCACTTCCCAGAATCCCTCTCGCTAGCATCCATCTTGGCTGAGCGATGCGTGCGCCACCAGGAAAGACTCTGAATTAGAATGATTGGCCACAGACCACCCGGAAACTAATCCCATCACCATAAAACCGGAGACTGTGAGCCACGTGGCAGAGCAGTGCTCCTGGGTTCCCTTACCCTCCTGCTCTCCACGCAGGTGCCCTTTCCCAACAAAATCTCTTGCTTTATCAGCACATGTGTCTCCTCGGACAATTCATTTCCAAGTGTTAGACAAGAGCCCAGTTTCGGGCCCTGGAAGGGGTCCCCCTTCCTGCAACAGTACCAA